TTCAGAAATGTGCCAAATCCCCTGTGTTTTTGGACCCTGACCCCGCGGATCTGCGTAAGGGGTGGCGCCGAATTTCAGAAATGTGGCAAATCCCCTGTGTTTTTGGACCCCGACCCTGCGGATCTGCGTGAGGGGTGGCACCGAATTTCAGAAATGTGGCAAATCCCTTGTGTTTTTGGACCCTGACCCCGCGGATCTGCGTGAGGGGTGGCACCGAATTTCAGAAATGTGGCAAACCCCATATCTTTTTGGACCCTGACCCGGCGGATCTGCGTGAGGGGTGTCGATTTCGAGCCCCCCCAGCAATTCAGACAACGCGCCCAGGAGACGCTGAAAATCTTGTTTGGGCCTCCCCCCCTCGCGCGGTCAATCAACTAGTTACAGTAACCAGCAAGAAGCAGAACTGTAACACTGGAAAAACTGCGAACCCGCGCCTACAGCCTGGTGGCCCCACAAGGGGGCCGGCGGATTATTGATCCCCCCCACCGGTGCATACTGTTTTTTCTCAATCAAAGTGTGCCCCTCGACGCTCGCACCCCTTTTTTTTCAGGGAAAGTCTTCCTGCTCAAACTGAGCCCCTGGCCCTCGGGTTACAACAACAACGGCCGCTTGATATTTCCTCACAATTTAGCCAGGACCCCCGCTCCCGCCCGAGACTTCCTTTCATGTTATTCAGGAATCGCGCTCTCGCTGTGGACTTTCTTACAATTTATTAAGGAATCGCTCTCCCGGCGCTCTGGAGTCGCTCTCTCGCTGGAGACTTGCTAGCAATTTACTGAAGAATGGCCTTGCGTTGGAATTTCCTGCAATTTGCCCAAGCGCCGCGCTCCCGACACCCAGGCACCCAGGAGTCGCGCCCGTTGTGGCCCCACGTGCATGCCCTTCGTGGCCCCGCTGTCGCCATTTGTGCCCCCCTCACTGTCCTACGTGGCCCAGTTGCTACCCTCAGTGGCCCATAGTTGCCTTCTGTGGCCCCGCATTATCTGCACTTCGTGGCCCCCGCTCGTTCGCGCTCTTCGTGGCCCTATACGCATTCCCTTCGTGTCCCCGCTGTCGCCCTTCGTGGCCTACTTCGTGCCCTTCGTGGCCCTGCTGTCGTTCTCTCTCGCTTTCGCTTTCGCTCGTCGTCGCCGTCGTCGTCGTCGTCGTCGCCGTCGTCTTCGACGTCGTCGTCGTCGTCGTCGTGGTCGGTCCCCTGTCCGTTCCTCTTGGGGTCGGGTCGACGGTCCGCGGCCGCCCCGCCGATCAGCCCTGCCACTGGCCAGGCCGACGGTCCGCGGCCGCCCCGCCGCTTGCCGGGGCCCGGCCTGCAGGGAAGAAAGGTATACCCCCAAAAAGGGGTTCGATCGAAGACGAAGAGGGCGGGTATCGAGGGTTCGGGAAATACGCGTTATTGGACACTCGAGCATATAAGGGCGAACAGTCTTAAACTTATTGTTGCTGTTGTTGTTGCTGTTTTTTTTGCGCTTCCCAAAAAACACAACACACACGCGCACATCACCACCTGCTCCTCTCCCACCTCCCTCTTCCCCCCCCTCTACCACATCTTCCTCCATCCTTGTATGTTGTCACGGATCAAATGGTGAAGAGACACGACCGAACATGGCCACGTCTTTCCGATTTGCCGCGTCCTTTGGTATCGGCATCCTTTTCTAACGGTTGCGTAATACATGCTTCCAACATACAAGATTCTAAATTAAATGGGGGCCTTACCAAGGACCATTTGATACAAGGCACCTCCTCTAACGAGTGATTACTGAGCTGGAGGCATCGTCGCTAATGAATCCGCAAAACAGGTCATATTCCAGGTAGTCGTGGTCAGGAGTCATTACCGCAAGGATACGAAAGGACTCCGCATTACAAAGGGACCTAAGGAAGCAGCTTCCGAGAAAGGAAACCTGCGTAAGAAAACCTACTACGGGGATCCTTATTGAGGGGATGCTTCCCATTTGTGTTCTCACCAAGGATCCCCCACGAAACAAATCTGAGCGTCCTAGCTACAGGGGCCCTGATCAAGGACCCTTTGATAAAATCACCCCTTCTAATGGATGGTTACTACGCGGAAGGCATCGTCATGAACCGACTGTTTATGAAAGGTCGTACTACAGGTAATCGTGGTAAGGAATCACGACCGCAGGGATACTGAAGGACTCCGTGGTAAAACGCGACCTCACTAAGCAGCCCTTGTTAACATAATCGCGCGTAACGATGCCCTACCACGGGGATCCTTATTGAAAGGATGTTTACATCATGCATTCCCCAAGTAGGGATCCCTCAATAAGTGAGTCCTTGCTAAGGGCGCCTTGATACATACGTCCTTACTGACGAATGCTTACCATATACAAACACCCCCAGTCCTCACTGACGGGCGCCTTTTTGACCTTAGGGTTCCTGATGCAGGCATCTTTATTCGTGATGGTGTAAAAAGAAATATGTACGAATGATCCCTCCCCGGGAAGGAATCCTTACCAAGGGTCCCCTACCACTAGCAGCCTGACGACGGACCCCCAGCAACGGCACCAGTGGAGGCGTTCACATGGCGTTCCATCGGTGTTTCATTGGCTGGCCTTGCGTGAGCTTGGACGTCGGAGGAGGAAAGGGGGAACGCGAGGGAGCGCGCGAGAGCGAGAGGGATAACGAGAGAGAGAGAGAGAGCGCAATAACAACGAGGGTCATCATTTTCTCCTGCCATGTTCTCCCTCTGTGTTGTGGGCTGTGTGAGTGCGCAGCCAGCCTCCCCTCCCAAGTCCCCGTCCCCACGGACTCCTTACTACAGGACTCCGTATCCAGGGTCTCTTTTCTAAAACTACATTTACCGCGGACCCCGTTACTAAAGGCGACCCATGGTAACATGCAGAATGAGCAGTGAACACTTGCTAGAGGAATGTGCAATGAGGGGATCCGTATTCAAGGCATCAAAAGACAGGGCCCGGGACTGCACGTGAGCCTTATTGCGATTGCTTTGGCAGAAGCACTCTCAGTGACGAATGCTTACAAGCGGCGCCCACACGAATGGTTCCTTCCTCACGGGGTCCTTCCTCAGGGTCGTTGCATATAAGCAGGCTTATTCATGAATGTGAACTACACAGGTCCATACTAAAGAACCCTCACCAGAGGGAATGCCTACTCAGAGTCCCGTATTGCAAGCATCCTTACTCGGGGTTCCCAGCAATCTTCCGCATGCCTCCGCTTGGCTCTTCATTGGTTGGGCCTCGCGTGGATGCCAAAAGGGGAGGAGCCATATAGAGAGAGAGAGAGAGAGAAACAAACAAACGATTGATACACATATATATATATATAGAGAGAGAGAGAGAGAGAGAGAGAGAGAGCGAGAGAGCGAGAGCGAGAAACAAACACAGCACATAACACGAGAAACAGAGAGTGCTAGAGAGAGAGGGAGAGAGAGGGATAGAGAGAGAGAGAGAGAGCGAAAGAACTAGAGAGCGCAACCATTTTCCCCTGCCACTTCCTCCCTGTGTGTTGTGGGCTGTGCGGATGTGCAGCCAAGCCCCCTTCCAATTCCCTCCTCCCTAAGAAATCTCTCCTGAAGGACCCCTTTTACACAGGATCCCGTACTGCTGCACACATCGGTGAGGAATCCGTGCGAAGGCCCTGCCGACCCGACGAGGCCGACGGACACCGCCCGCAGGCTCTGAAGACCAGAATGGGCCGACGGACACCGCGCGCAGGCCCTGCCCACCCGAATAGGCCGACGAACACCGCACGCATGCCTTGCCGACCCGACGTGGGCGGAAATGAGGAGGGGGGGAAGAAGGAAAGAGCGGATAAGGGAAGGGAAGGTGGTGGGCGAAGGGTGATTAGAGAGTTGCTTCGCCATGTGATGGCTTGTCCAGTCGCCCAAGTCTCGTGTGCAGCGCGCGGCACGTGCCCCCCCCCACTCATGTGCACGGCGTCGAGGCGAGAACGTCATAAAAGTGTGCGCGGCGCCGAGGTAAGAGTGCGACATTGAAAAGTGTGTGCATGTGTGGCAAGCTGCATACTCTACAATGCCCTGGCCTTTGTTCGCAACCCTCCTGTGTGTTAAGTCTTAGTTTGAATCCGCAGCGTTGCGCGTCTCCTCTCCTCCTCGTCCTCCTTCTCCACCTCTTTCCTCTTCCTCTTCCTCACCCTCATCGTCCATCCTCTCATTCTTGCCGCGTCTGCTACTTTCGCTGCCACCCTCATACTTTTCCTGCCCCCAGAGAGCCCCCCCGAGGGCCCCAGTAACTTGGTTCGCATGCTGTCTCGGGTACATCTTTGCACACGCCACAAGCTTCGTGGCCCCACGCGAAGTTCAATTGAAGACCATACTGGCTGCGATCGCACGCCGCCTCTGGTATATTTCCTTAGTTTTCCGCTCAACCCACACCATTGTTTTCTGCTCGACTTGCTGGAAGGCGAGCGCTCGGTTAAAACGCAGTGATGTGGCGCAGCCTTGTTTTCGGGAAGGGTTGCTGGAACGTTTCGCTCGGTGCAGGCGAGACGCTGGAGCGACATCCTGTCTGGGCTCTTCAATCTTTAAACGTGAGAAAGGAGAGGGTGCAGCGCTAGAGCTGCTAGCATGTGGCCCACGCCTCGTGAGACAAGGCCCAGCCTCCTCAAAGGATTGCAGGCGGTGGATGGCGCTTAAAATGCCCAATGGCTCCAGATCTTCTGCAGAACCCGAGCCCTCCATGTGCGCGGGACTCTTTCGCGCCCCCCCCTCCCCCCCCCTTAGCGCCACACCTGGCCGCGCCCCCCTCCCGTGGTTCACGCGCGCACCTTGTGGCCCCACGAAGGGCTCCACCAAGAACGGCGTCCAGAAGGGCAAGGCTCGGCCAAACGGAAGAGTGACCCTTCGCTGGAGTGGCCTTTGGTGCGGGCACGCTGCGGCCCCCTTGTCGCCGAGCGCGGCGCGAAAGCGGCGGCTGGTGGGCTTGGGTTTGTCCCCCGCGCGTCCTTCCAAAGCCGCGCACCAAAGGTCACTCTGACCCAGGGTCGCTCTTGCGTGTAGCCGAGAGGCCGCCCCTGCGGCCGTGAAGCCGCTGGTCAAGTCGGCGACGCTGGCGCCTCCACTGGGCAAGGCGGCCACGCTCGCGCCCAGCGGGAAGGTGCGCCTGCTCCTCCGCCTGTCTCTTCGTCCCCCCCTGCTGTGTGGTCCTTCATGGGCGCTTCAGAGGATCCCAGAATTCCCTGCGGTTTGGTGGGATTTCGTCCCGGCTTGGTCGGAGGAATTCTGGACGACATTTGGACGATCGGGTGAACAGGGGTGGCCGAGATTTGGACGAAGTCTGGTCGAAATCGTGTTCATGATAGGGCCGCGGAGGTCCACAGAGGCTCACACGAAGGCTCATCCCCAGACCCCCGTCGTCATGATTGTTTCATAACGTCGACCCCCAGAGGTCTCGACCCATTCCCCGGGACCGACTTTTCGCCCTGAATGTTTGACGGCCCCGAGGCCTGGCAAGGGCCCCCAGAGGCCAACTATTGAGAAAAACCGTCCGTCGTGATTTTTGTCATGACTGGAGGGGTTCTGGGTCCAGCCCCCGTTCTTGGCACCACGGCCCAGGGGGGCCGGACCCCATCATCAGTCCCATTCCAGTGGGAGCGGCTCGTCTCTGTTCCTGGCCGCGCCGTTGTCGGTTCTCTCTCTCTATCGGCCCGATGGGGGCTATAACGGACCCCCGGGCCAGGTCTGCAGCGAACTCCGAACCCTAACCTCGCCGATTAATGATTCAAGGCCCTCAAGGACGAGTTCTGAGGGCGAATCCTGGAATGTCCTCATCGCTGCTACGCACTTCTTCGGACGCGCCGCTGCTGGTCGCCCCAGGTTTGGTCTTTCCTACTTTCTCTCTTTCCTCCTTGGATCCCCTCATCCTCCTCTCTGCGCTCGCCCGTCCCAGCGTCCCAGCGCCAGGTCGACGGCCGACGTTTCCGCTCTGTTCCCTTTTGGAACAGCTCACCGCGTGGTGCGCTGGTGTCGGGCAACTCGATGAGCGGCGGGGGTAGGGTTCGGGATTCGTTGAACACGCTGCGAAATCCGAGCCCCACACCTCCAGTCGATTCAGGGGGATCGATGGTTGGCGGGGCAGGATTTGCGTGTCGCCACCTGCCAGAGCAGCCGGAGGGGGGGTCCCCGAACTACGCAGCCCCTCAGAATGATCTGGGCCCTCCAAAAAGCAAAGTTCGGCCGCCTGCTCGTGACATGGATCCCTCGCCAGGGACCTGTCGACCCCATCCGAGGGGTAGTTGCTTCATCCCCCGGACCAGTTTCTGACGGTTCCGCGGGGCCAGGAGAAGGCAAGGGGCTTCCGCTGAACAAGATGCAGAAACGGCTGTCGTGATCCTTGTTTTCGACTTCCGAGGTTTGTATATTGTTTTCCCTGTTTCTGATTCTCCATCCTCAGCAGCTCCGACATTTCCTCTCCCTCCGCCTCATGTCTCCCCTCGGTGGCAAAGATGAGGTCCCTGCGTGCCAAGCGTTCAGTCTCGCACTCTGGCAGTTCATGGATCCGTTCTGGGGAGCGCGCCTCGCTCACTCACGCACTGTCGCTCGATTCGGCCACTCGCTCCTCCTCCCTCCCTCCTCCTCGTCCTCCTTCCCCCCTCTTTCCTCTCCCTCATCCTCCCGCTGGGCGGGCCAAGTCGTCCCGTTAGAGGCGCCCGTGATGGCCAAGCCCGCCGCCGCGGCGCTGGGCGGCAAGGGGGCGCTGACGCCTGCGAAGGCGACGCTGGCGCCGGCGTTGGGCGGCAAGGCGGTCTCCCCGCTGGGCGGCAAGGCGGTGCCTTGGGGGGACGGCGGCCAAACAGAGTGTCCCGTCTCGGTTCCTGCCGGGCGGACGGCAACGGGGGGGGGGGGCAATGGACGTCGGGGGATCGAGGATGTCGGGGGAGTGGCCCCAGAGGGGCCCGAGGGACGGCCCCCGGACTGCCACCGCGGGCCCAGAAGGAGCACGAAGGGTGCGTGCTGCTTCACCCCAGGTCGATTGCCATCCCGTCCACAGGCACCCGATCGTGCGCGAAGGGGAGGCAGGTGCAAGAGCTGGGCTGCGGGAGCCGCCCCCCGTCGCCCCCCTCTGGGCCGACCTCGATCCCCCGGGCAGCGATGGCCTGCGCCTTCGGCACTCGAGAGCGGGCGCCGCGCGCGCAGGTCCTCGTCGCCGCGGGATCGGGGTCGGCCCTGGGAGGGTGCCGGGGTGGTCTCCTCAGCCAGGCGGCCGCGGTTGTCTCTTCGCCGCCTCTGATCATTAGGATCGAAGACGTGGTTGTGGTTCGTGGTCGTCTCTTCGTCGCCGTGGTTGTCTCTTCGTCGCCTTCGTCGCCTCTGATCAACTGGAAGGAAACAGGTGGGAGGAAGACTGACAGAAGTTCAGGACTCGCTGTCGGTGTCGCCGCGGGCGTCTATTTGAGGCACAAGTTCGCCTGCCCAACAGCGGCCGCTGTCGGTCGTGGGCAACATTCGTGGTTGGGCCTCGTACCCATGCCCAATGGGCCTGGGCTTATGGCGGATTGGTTTCTTTCTGCGACCGCTATCGAGCCTTGCCCCTGCGGGTCCAATCGGCGCTGAGACATTGGACGCTCTCGCAGGGCTCGACTGTAGGCGTCCTTCAAATTCTCAGCCCCAGCCGTTTTTCTCAAACAATTTGCGGTCGACCATGCGTGCCGGGCTGAGGGCTGGTGCGGGGGGCTGCTTCTCTGGAGTATTGGTCTTAGCAGGGCGCCACTGTCGCGCTTCTCCGAAACAGCGTTTCGTGGGAAGCCGTGACCAGCGTATGTGCGTGTGAGTTTGTGGGTGCGTTGTCTTTCGAATATTGTCTGTAGGGGTAAGTTGGGTGCTTGCCGATTCTTTATTCCCGAATTTCTTTATTCGCGGGGTGGAAGAAACGGAGTCCACCAAATGTGTGTATGTGTGTGTGTGTGTGTGTTCGGGTGTGTGTGTGTGTGTGTGTGTTCGGGAGGCCGTCCTTTCTTTTTGTAGGTGGGGGTCTCCCTGGGGGGCCTTCGTGGCCACGGCTGGGTACAGCGCGGAAAAAGAGGCCGTTGGTTTCGCTAAGGCAGGTTCGTGCTTGCATTGAGGGGGGGGGGATGGTGGAGGGGGCATGGCGAGGCCCGGAAGGGATTCCGAGCTTCACGCAGGTCGGGACCCATTTGCACGTCTTTTCGGCCCAGCGCCTTTTGAAAATGCGGCGGACGGGGGGGAAAGGGGGGACGAGCGGACATCACACACCCGTACCCAAAGGGGGACGAAAGGGGGCTATGGGAGCGTGTTGTCGGATGGGGTCCCTGCTCGAACGGGAACCTCCCCCAGATCCGACAGCCCGCACCCATACCCATAGCCAGCCCTCCTCCTTCCGCCCACCCCCCCCTCCCCTCTGGGTATGGGTCTGTGTGTGTGTCGCTCGCTCGCCATCTGGAGCAAATCGCTGTCAACATTGATCAGGAAGCCCGCCACAGAGGGGTCGGGCCGACCGGTCTTGCGGCGCAAGCGGGGCCGTGCCGACCTCGACTTCTTGGCGCCACGAGCGTTTTCTCACGGCGGGCGTGCTGCTGCTGCTGCTCGAGCTGGCTGCCGCCCGCCCCTCCCTTCCTTTCTGCGCGGCCGCCCGCCTCTTGAGGACAGCACAGCCTGCCTCCACCCCCAGCCAGGACCCCCACTCTCAGCCAGGCGAGCTGGCAGAGGGAGAACTGGTTGAAAGCTGCAGTCCTTGTTTTGTTTGCGGATCTTGTTTTTGGTTTGGACCGTCGGCTGCGCACCAGTGTTCGAAGCAATCCGCTCCCGATGCCTGTCCAAGAGAGTGCAACGCAGCGTCTCGCGAGGGTGGGGGGCGAGGGGCTCTCAGAGAGCGAATTGCGGCTGGGAGCGGCACTCCCGACCTGGTGATCCAGGGGGTCCTGGCTGGGAGTGAGGGTAGGTTCCCGAGCCGCCCCGACCCCGGGCCAGGACCCCCTGGATCACCACTGGTCGGGGTTCGGGGTCTCTTGGCTGGGGTTCGGGGGTGAGGTGGTGCTGCCCTCCTCCTCTGTGCTTTTCACTTCGCCGCTCTCCCACCACTTGCTGACCGGCGCCTGCCTGTCTGGAATCGAAACACAAAAAATAAGAGTTTCAGTTCGCCGCCCCGCGCCCCGCGCGTGGCTCGCGCGTGCCGCGCGGCCGCCAGCGCCGCGCGCAACAACAGCGGCAGGCGTGCTCTGCTCACGGCGTGGGGACATCCCGCGGCGGCTCCCGGGGCCCCCGGGCCGACCACGCGTCGACCCCCCATCGCCCGCCCGTCGCCCGCTCATGAGGGGCTCGATAGCGCCACCCCGCCCGGGAGCGTGCGGTGGCACCTTCGGGGGCCCATCGTCAGGCCATCGGCCATGTACCGCCGATTCCGGCTCGATGCTCCACACCCCGAGCTGGCCTTTCCCTATCGTTACCCCTCCTTCCCAGGCCCACGGGACCTCGGAGTTCGAAGGGCGGCGCGCGACGAACGGCCCGTCCTGGGGACGGGTCGAGAGCACCGGGAGCCCCAGTCCTCTTACTGGCGCGTCCTGAGCACGAGATTCTTGACGAGGCGCACCAAGATGGGGAAGAGCTTGGCCATCTCCTCCGGACCCACATCCACCAGGGCGGCCATCGAAGAGGGAAGAAGAAGAGGAGAAGGAGGAGGAGGAGAAAAGGGGAGAGCAGGAGGGGGAAGCAGGAGGAGCAGAGTGATGGGAGGGGGGGGAGGATTAGGGGGGTGGGATTAGTTAGGACGAGAACAGGGGAAGTTGAGGAGGAGGAGGAGGAGGAGGGAGAAGGGCGGATTCCCGCCAAGATCGGTGTATGAACATATGTGCGGCCGGCGACCCCATAGGCGGGGATGTATATTCAGGCGATCAGCAGCAGGAGAACATGAGGAAACGAGGGTAATCAGGAATATCGGGCAGGAATGAAAGAGTGAAGTACGTACGGTAGTTTGGAGGGTTTGGAGGGACCCGCAGTGCCACGAGAATTGTTAGTGTAGATGGGCGGAGGGGGGATGACGAGGGGGAGAGGAGGAGTAGGATGATGATTTTGAAGATGATGATAATGATGATGATGGCGATGATGACGATGATGATGATGATGATGACGACGACGATGATGATGATGATGACGATGGTCATGATGATGATAACGATCATGATGATAGTGGTGATGATGATGATGTCTGTGGTGGTAATGATGATGATGTTGTTGGTGATGATTATTTTGCTGAACATAGTGATGATGGTGGTGATGATGCTGATGATGATGAGTATGATGATGATGCTGATGGCGATGCTAAGACTGATGAGGATGATGATGGCGGTGATGATGCTGTTGATGATGATGACGCTAATTGTGCTTGTGATGCTCATGGTGATGATGATGAAGATGAAGACGAAGATGCGGATGATGATGATGGTAATGATGATGATGATGATGATGATGATGATAGCAATGTTGATGCTGATCATGATGATGATGGTGATGGTGCTGATGATGATTATGTTGATGACGATGCTGATGCTGACGATAAGACTGATGATGATGGCGGTGATGATGATGATGTTGAGGATGATGGTGATGATGATGATGATGATGACGTCGATGCTGGTGTTGATGATGATGATGATGATGACATTGATGACGATCATGATGGGGATGACGAATATGAAGATTGAGATGATAATCATGATGATGATGGTGGTGATAAAGATGATGCTGCTGCTGATGATGATGATGCTGATGGTGGTAATGGTGCTGATGATGATGACGGTGATGATGCTGATGATGATGATGCTTATGATGATGATGACGATGATGATGATGATGATGATGATGATGATGATGATGATGATGATGATCATGACGATGATGCTGTTGGTGGTTGTGGTGATGATGATGCTGCTGCTGATGATGATGAAGATGATGCGGCTGCTGATGTTGGTGACGAAGTTGATGATGATGATGATTATGATGATGATGCTGATGCTGATGATGATTATGATGATGCTGACGATGATGATGATGATGATGATGCTGATGATGATGATGATGATGATGATGCTGATGCTGATGATGATGATGATGATGATGATGATGATGATGATGATGATGATGATGATGATGATGGTGATGGTGATAGTGATGCTGATGCTGATGCTGATGCTGATGATGAGGAGGAGGATCAGGAGGAGGAGGAGGATCAGGAGGAGGAGAAAGAGGAGCAGGAGGAGGAGGAGGAGGAGGAAGAAGAAGAGCAGCAGGAGGAGGAGGAGCAAGGAGAGGAGGAAGAGACAGCGGGAGATGGGATGGGACGAAATGTGGAGGGGAGGTGAAGCAGGAGGGGAAATGGACAAGCAGGAAGCTGGAGCAGGAGGAGGAGGAGGAGGAGCAGGAGCAGGAGGAGAAGTTGGAGCCGCGGGAGAGAATGAGGGGCACCCGCGCGCCACCCCCCCTTTCAGGGCACGGTGGCGCCCAAGCGCAACCCGAACATTCCCATCCGGAGAATCGTGTACATCGACGACCTGGAGATGCCCAAGCGGCCAGACCTTCCCCCGCGGGACACCGACCGCGAGGTCATCCAGCTGCTCCCTCCTCTCAGAGGAGTAGAGGGTACCGGTGCCGCTGCTCGTCCTGGGGAGCTCTCGTCGTCACAGCTGGTTTATCCTCGAAGTTATGGTCAGAAGACACCCAGGTAAAAGGTCCAGAGAGCAGCGGTGCAGGTGCCTTTGGCCCCCCAGTCCTCCCCCCCTCCTCGCTGGCTCACTCGACGAGGGCTGTACAGTCTGGTCCGTGCTGGGCGCGAAAAATAGAAGGGCGCGCATTATCCCCCTCACTTCCCTTCTCCGCCCTTTCCTTCGGAGCGGTATTCCCAGGGGCCTGTTTCAGCCTGGTAGGGCCTAGGTCATTCTCAGTTCCATTCTGGTTAATCCCAGCTTCGGCTGGGCGCTGATTCGCAAAAGCAAGACGCGCTCCACGTGTCGGTTCTACATTTTCGGATGCTTGAATCTCGCCTCCTTCCAAAGAAAGCTGCCGAGGACGGCAATCTCCCGTGAGCTTGCTGCTGTCTAGAACCCTGCGCGCTTCCTAGCCGCGTTAATATTATTGCCCCCTCTCCTCCCCAGCCCCTTCCCTCCTCCTCCTCCGCCTCCTCCCCTTTCTCCCTCCTCCGTTTATGGGGGGGAGGGGGGAGGCGGTGGTGGCTGCTTGTTCAACTCGGCGGGCCAAACTCCTTTTCACGAGGCACCAGCCGTGAGGTCTTTGAGTCTTCTTTTGCCGATTCTCTCCCGATGCCTTCGGAGCTTGCGCACTCGAGGCGGCGGTAAATTGGGGGCTGAAGAAAGGTGCACCTTGTGTGCCCCCAAGGCTCCCTAAAGGGGCCCCCGAAGAGCCCAAGATGGGCACGAGAGGTGCACGTTTCTTCGCCCCGCCCACCATTTACCGCCCCCCATCAAGCAACGCCCAAGGGAGCAACTCAAAAAAGCGGGGTCGTCTTCACCGGCATTGGCGCGTCAGATGATCGCGTCAGGTCGCGCGTGTGCGCCCTCGTTTCCAACGTGGCGTGCCGTGCCGGCGGCCCGCGTAAGCCACCGCGCAAGGTCGCTACGTCACCTCGCGTGAGACCCGCGTCTTTTCGTCGCCCGGGTGGTGGGAGCCAGCCCCCCTCCCCCCCCGGTCGGTGCCTGCCCGTGGAAGAGCGGGCAGGCGTCGCCGCCCGGGCACGGCCTGCCCGAGGACAGGGCACGGGCTGCTCGAGGGGGGCGCGCGCGGGCCGAGAAGAGGCCGCTGGGGAGGCGGCCCCCCGTCTCAGGAATGTCGGAGGCGAGCTTCAGCACAGGGGCAGAATGCTCGAGGGATGTGCATCACCCCCGCCCCCGAAGTTAATTGATTTTCGCATGGGCGGTGGTTTTTGGGGGTTCGGATAATCAGTCTGTCCACCCATGTCCCCTCCATTGCCGCACCAATACTAGTTTGGGGGGTCCTGGGGGGCATCTTGCGCCGCTGGGTTTGAACTTACTGTCCAGGTACGGTTCCCGCGCCTCCACAGGGGTACTCTAGAACTCGATTGTGAGGAGGAGAGAATCCGTTTTCTCGTACTCTGCGACCCTGATGCTCTGCAGCAGTTCCGGCACTGAGACCCACAAGTGTGTGCGGCCTCTCACGATCTAAAAGTTGAGGCCTTAAGCGCCAGTCTAAACCTCAATGCCTGAGCCCAGACGGAGCTACAGATCCGCCATCTCTGCCCCTACCCACAGCGGTGTTCGCGGTTCGGTCGGTTCGGCTGCGTCGCAGTCGGTTACGGTCGGGCGGTTCGGTCCGGTCGGTTATGATATCCCTGCCGCCTCGCTGCGCCGTTCTAGGCCCTTCTCCGAGCGCCGCTGGGGTCGAGGCAGGTGACCGGTTCCCACGCGCAGTGGAAAAAAACTGCGCGGTAGAGCAGGAGGACGACGCGTGCAGCAGCTCAGCAGGAAAAGGGACCGATACCGCTGCCTTACCCCGTTTGGGCCTTTTTGGGGCCTCCTGGGAGGCACCCCTCGTCGCCATTGCTGGATTCTCTTCGAAGTACTGGTCAGAACGCACCCAGGGAGAGGTCCGGGGAGTAGCGGTAGCGGTAATTCGTTACCTCATCAGCATGTTGTTTACACCAGGTCTTCCTCTCCCGGCTGCCGAAGGACTGCACAGACGAGCAGCTGCAGGATCTCATCGGTGGGTTCGGCGAGATCGAGGATCTGCACCTTATCAGAGACTCGTTCACCTCCGAATTTACCGGGAAAGGGTACGTTAGATTCAAGACGCACAAAGAGGCGCTCGGGTGCATTCAGGCGCCGATCGGGCGCTCCTCCTGCTCCTCCTGCTATTTCGCCTCCCCCATTGGGGACGCCTAGCCAAGGCGTCGAGATCATCCCCATCCTTGAAATTGACAGGTCCCAGTCGATGACAATCTGAAGGATGTGTCTGCAGAAATGGGTGAAATGTTTAATATTGGCGCCGATACGGGATGGGGATGTGTGTTCAGGCAGGTGATCCTCTTCCGCGCCCCCTCTTCTCATTCAGGCGCATAGCGACCCGCACGATAAGGCGGAGGACGACGTGATAGCAAAGTGGTCGGAGTCCGAGCGTGCGCAGCAGAAACTGAGGTCAGTGTATCCAGTCGCGCTGAGGCGCCTGCATCCGCCCTGTGCGATCGGCGGTCCAAAGCGTCGAGACCTTGTGTCCCCGAGGGGAGAAACAGGATGACCATGACGAGGATGTCGCGGGATCTTGCCGACGCCGATCTTGGTCATGGTGCGTGCCAGCTGTCTCCGATTCGCGAGCATTTTATGCGGCCTGAGGATGACAAAGATGGGCGATAACCAAGATCGGCAACTATGCTTCCGCATTCAGCCTTGGTCATGGTCATCGTTCTCTTCCCCTCCATGTTCGACACAAGGGCGCTTGCTGATCCCGGTGGACTTCCACCATGATAGGGATGTTGTGGTTGACGTTTTCGGGGGACGCTCCCATTTCGGCCACGTTCGGGCTTCTGGGGCCCCGTAGGGGCCCATGACCCTCTGCGACACGAGCGCCGACGTCGACAGTTCCATGTCACCCGAACTTGGGCGCCTCGTCGGAGGGAGCAAGACAAAACAGCCAACATGCCGGAACACAACTCACATCTCTGCTTCGAAAGTGGCTCGGTGTTCCTGGGGTGCTTCATCGGGGCCCAGTCGGTGGCAAAAGACGCACACATGGTGGGTTTGGGGGCTCGGGCTTCGGGCCTCACCTACGCAAAGTATCTTTGTGTCAAGACTTTGGCTGCACGCGCTGCGACACCTGTACATTGGGATGCAACTTCTGGAAGGTTAGATTCAGCAACAGCGCTGGTATACCCGTGGTTGAAAATCAGCCTGTTCCAGCAGAATCCCTCCCAATCCCGTTAAAAATCGCTTATAAGTCGGCTTGGTCCTTGGGTTGCTCTGGCCCACTCTGGCGTAGTGGCCCCTCCATCGGGCCTATGATCTTGCAGTCGTTCTGACGGAGACCTCCCAGGAGTTGCCTGCCAACGGACAGAATGGGCTCGACACCTACTTTTCCCTCTCGCGGCTGGGTGGGAGTCCCCGCAGCGTGTACTAAGGCGGGGCGCGTTCAGTTCAACCACAATTTGATCTTGCAGATGGGGGATCAGGACGATTTCTGACGCAAGCCAGAATAACCGCAGAAGCGGATGCATGTGGAAAATGCCAGAGGTGCCGATGTGAGCGCGGCCCACGCACAGATGCAGGAAGAGGAAACTATAGCTCGGACCTCGCGCATCCCAGCCCACTTGAAGGTGCGACACGGACGGCCGGAGCAGGGCATCGTAGGGCCGGGCATGAGAGCGGGCGACCAGGAGCTTGGCTGTAATGCAAGGGCAGCCAGCGCGAGTGCGGGGTGCACCGCGGGACAAGAGCAAACGGGCGCAGGCGGGAAACGATCCCACGCAGCCCGCCTGCGCTCGACAACACACGCGCACACACACACACACACACACACCGACCGCTGCAGCGCGGTGGCGGATTGCACCGACATGCTCCCCGCGTTCTGCACGGCGCCTGGCCGCCTGATGCCCTCCTTGTGCCAGCACGCCTCGGTGAAGGAGGCGTTCGTCACCGCCGAGTGGCTGCCCAAGGTCGCTTTGCTTGCAATGCCTGGGCGTCGAAGAGCTTGACATTGCTCGGACGTGTGCATTTTTTCTCGGCGAGGACCATCGAGGAGAATTGTGGCCCATCTCGCGATAAAAGCACGCGCGAAACCGACACATGCACGGGGAATGGACGTCCCAGCGATGGCGAGAGAGGAATGACTCAGAATTGCGTAAGCATTTCGGAGCTCCGCGCGGACTTCTTGGATCGGCGGTGGGCCCCCCCTGTCGGCGCCTCCAGCGCCGCTCTGGCGCGCTCCTCGCGCCAGAGTCGTGGTCTCAGCTCCGGTCCCAGAAGTCCCCGCGGGCCCCCAAAAGCTCAGGGTAATTCAGTTGTCTCTTCCCTTGAGCTTGCAATTCCTGGGGTGTTCGATGAGTCATCGTTCCCCCCATGGTCAACGCATCTGCGCTGCGAACGCGTCGGCCTTTCTTGAAATTGCTTCCAAGACTCTCTTCAGGGGCGCGCGTTGGGCTCACTGTCGGCATCATGTTTCTGAAGACGCCCTACGTCGGAATCGTCGTTTCGACCTCCTGACCGGAGACGGTCGGCTTACGATTTCGATGAGGTCCCAAGCAACATCGTCGTTTCGACCTGGAACTGAAGATGATCAATTCTTGCGCGTGAAGTCTCAAGCGGAATCTTGACTTTGACACCAGACCAAGATAACAAACACACAACCAGTCGCACTTTGGTTTCCAGAGGGCTCTAGCGGAACCGTGATTTCGACTTGGTGAGCCCGCTTGCCTTTAGCCTGTGTTGTTTGACAAAGCGGAGCTGTGCGTGTTGCGTGTTTCGCCTTGGAGTCTTCAAACAACAATTTCGACGTCAGGTAGAAACTCGTCGGTCCGAAGTCGAATCGGCGATTCTGCCCTGGGTTCCCTCAAGAAGAATTGTCAACCGAGGTCGAACCTTTTTGAGGGGGTGGTCGACCTGTGTGTCAGCACATGGCATGTGCGCACTGTCATCATTGTACTGAGGTCCTGACGCCTTTTTTGAACTCGCTAGACCTGCTTCTAGGTTGTTAGCTTCCAATCGTGTTCAGGAATTGCCACCTACGGCTCACGAAGGTCCCCGAAGTCTCCAAAAGTCTAGGGTTCCAGGAGGCCCCAGGCCCTAAAATGTCAAACAACTTCGAGCATCGACGCTCAAACATCTCTTTCTAACCCCAGGGTCCTCTTGTGAACCCTTGCCGCGTCTGCGTCCGTGTTGCTGCCGAATGTCGGATTTGATCTCGTTCGGCTGTCGAACTGGTCACAAACCCAGGGCCATGTTGGAATCGGCCAGAAACTCCAGCGATTTGTTTTTACAATATCGGGAACTTGGCCGCTTACTGAAATCTGACGGGATCTTTAGCCAACTGTTCACAACATCTGCGAGGACCCCTACCGTGCAAGCGTTGATTGGGGGAAACAGCGTCCTGCTGTAGAGTCGTGACATCATGCGCAGTTTTCGACATCGGATGCCAAAACGGAGCCGCCTGCTATTGGTTGTAACATCGACGACGCCGAAGTTGAAACGGCTTGCTAATGAATGGTGCCACGACAGGATGCGCCCTCGGCCGCCGAACGAAAGACGGCATGCTAACGCGTGCGAACAGTCCGACAATCAGTCCATTTCGGGCAAAATCATTCGGGATCCTCCTTCCCAACAGGTCGGCATGATGGCCATGATCGCGAAGACTGGGTCGCCCAAGCAGCTCCACTTTACCGCGGTGGTCACCGCGCCTGGGGAGGAGACGCTGCGGGGTGTGCTCTCCACTGCGCTGGAGCTCTTCCACGAGCAGGTGGAAGACATGCTCGTCGTCGCCGCCGTCGACCCAAGACGTCTTTTTTATGATACTTTGAACGTTCTTGGAGGTTCTCGGTGCCACGGCGGGACGCGGGTCGAAATCAGGATGGGCCTGTCAGAGCGCGCGATTCACGAACCAACATCTCCACGCAAGGGCCAGGGCAGGGCAGTATTGTGGTTTGTCGACCTCCCAACGCCTCGACCCTTCTCCCAAATCCGCCGACATGGACCGATCCGCGCGTTCGGGACTACCCGCGATCGCTCAAGGCTGAACGATCCACGCGGTGTCAGAAACCAGCCCTGAAGTCGTCACGACACGAGCCTGCCGTACGCGTCCAGTCGCCTCAGTCTTGCATTCTCGAGGGCCTCGAGGGCCGAGGGCCGAGCTTCTAGCCGGAGTGTTGCCCCAAAGCTTCGGTGTTGTGCGGGCTATGCCCGCGGAGCCGGGCAGGTGCACACGCACCTGGAGACGCCCGAGGCGCAGGAGATCCTCCGGAAGCGCGCGGCGGGCGAGGAGGAGGCCGAGGAGGTCAGCGTTCCCACTCTTCCCTCGCTGCCTCGCCGAATCACCGAACGAGGTCGGCTGGCCTGGCACACCCGCGCTCTTTTTTTTCCCCTCTGGGCGATAACGGGCGTGATCGGCCGTGGGCCCCTCCCCCAAGATCACGTCACGGCTTGTCGTCCCAGGGCGACCATGGGCGACCTGTAGCGTTCGCAGGCTACTGTGGTGTTCACACATGCTTTCTGTGGTGCTCGCAGGCGCCATGGCATTCGCGAGGTAACGCTGCGCTCACGCGCTTGCGGTGCTCTCAAGGACGTGGTGTTGCTATTGCTCAGAGGCGTTGGGTTGGCGCTCACAGCTGCCAGCGCGGTGATGTATGCAGGCGCTGTTGTTCGTACAGGCTTTTTGCTGTACGTAAGCGCCGCGGTCTGGGGACCATGTCCCGGGCCAGAAACATCAGTTATCATGACATCATGAATCTGGTATGCCGGGCCAAGCACGATTGTCTGGAGTTTGGGCCCCGTCGGAACCCTGGGGGTTTCATACAGGCGCTGTGGTGTGTATGGTGTATACAGGCGTGTACACAGGCACTCTGGCGCACGCAGTCGCCAAACGCTATGGTGTACACGGCTGCTGCGGTGGCTCAGGCGTTGTGTTGCACAACGTTGTGGTGCACGAAGGCAGTGTGGTGGATTGTACCCCTGGCCAAAATAATCAATGATGACAACAAGCTAGCATATTTAATGTGAAACGTTCGGGCACGCCACGATTTTGCGGAGCTAGCGTTCCCCGGCGGGATTCTTGGTTGTGTACAAGCTTTGTGGTGAACACAGGCGCGTGCACAGGCAGAGTGGTGAATTCAGGCGCCAGGGGCGGTATTGCACGCGGCTGCTGAGGTGGTGCAAGCATCGTGTCGTACACCAGCGCTGTGGTGCACGAAGGTGCCGCAGGCCCAAAATCAAGGACGGCGTGCTCCAGGCTTGAAGCATCAATAATCACAAAGACCTTACATATTGAATTTGGTTGGCTCGGGCCCACCACGATTTCCCGAAGTTTTGGCACCATCGGGAGCGTAGGGATGTACACAAGTTTTGTGGTCGCAGGCACCAAGAGCTATGGCGCACGCGGCTGATGTGGTTGTACAGGCATCATGTTGTGCACTGGCGCTGGGCTGCCCGCAGGCAGTACGGGCCCAAATTACAAGCCCATTCTTTGGGCCAGAGACATCAACAATCACACATAACTCTTTCATTGAATTTGATGCGTTCGGGCCCACCACGGTTTTCGGGCGTTTGGGCCTTGTCAGGGTTTTGGGGTGCGTGCGCCGTTTTTGTAGTGTACACAAATATTGTGGTGGTCGCAGGCGCCAGCCGCTGTGGTGGTGCATACGGCTGCTGTGGTTACGCAAGCGTCATGTTGTACAGGTGCAGTGTTGCACGCAAGTCTTGCGGGCCCAAAATGCAGGGTGCACCGTATCCCGGGCCAGAGATATCAGCAATCAGATGTTCAATTTGGTAGGTTCAGGCACATCCGGATTTTCCGGATTTCGGTCCGCGTCCGGACTTTGGGGATGTACACAGCGCTTGTGGTGTATACAGGCATTGTCGTGCACGGAGGCGCCGGACGCTAAAGTGCGCACAGCTGCTGTGGTTGCGCAGGCATCGTGTTGTACAGAGGCGCTGCTGTGCACGCGAAAGTCGTTGCGTGTACAAGGGCGTTATGGTGTGCATTCGTTGTTGTCCACACAGACACTGTGGTATATACACAGCCATAGTTTATAATTATCGAAGACGCCTACGGAGAATTACCGCCGCCCCCTGTCTTTCGGAGTCGCCCATGTGGCCGAACGTTGTGGCCAAAGCTCTGTCAAGCTATCGGACCATGTGTTCACCCGGCCATTCTGGAAAACCTTCGGGGAACACGCAGGGGAGAAAGAAGAAGCGAAGGAGAGGGAGGTCAATGGGAGCCTCTTGGAGGCCTCTTGAGGGTCTCCTTCGGCCTCTTGGGTTTTGGGGGGAGCTTGATCGTGGCCTCAAGCTGCGCTGCGTAAGGAGCCTGCGTGTGGCCCATTGATCTTTCTAGTTGCGGCTTGCGGCAAGCGGTAAGAAAATAAATAAAACATTCTAGCGGTAAACGGTAAGCGGTAAACGCTCAGCATCCGCCTGTTGCATTTAGGATTACGGCTTACAGGAGCCCTCCAGGAGGCTCCAGGAGGGCCCCATGGTCCACGAAGCGTCGCGGGCACCGAAAGCCCAAGTGGCGGCATAACACCAACCGATTTTTGCAAAATCGGCGACAAGGGCTTCCCAAATCGAGCGGTGTTATGGCGCCGAGCCCCCTTCCCCCGCCCACGCCCCTCCCCAGGAGGCCCCAGCAAGCCCCAGGAAGCCACCTGGAGGGCCCAGAACGCCCCAGGAGGCTCCAGGAGGCCTCCCCAGGAGGCCCCAGGAAGCAACCAGGAAGCCACCAGGAGGCCGCAGAACGCATCACGAGCCCCAGGAGGCCCCAGGAGGGCCCCAGAATCCACAAAACGTAGCGGATACCGAAAGCGAAAGCCAAGGTGGGGCCATAACACCGGCCGATTTTGGCAACATCGGAGACAAGTTCTCCCAACACCGAGTCGTGTTCTGGCGCCGAGCCCCCCCCTTCCCAAGGAGGCCCCAGCAAGCCCCAGGAGGCCCCCCTTGGGAGCCACCAGGAGGCACCAGAAACGCCCAGGACGCTCCAGGAGGCCCCCTGGAGGCCCCAGCAGCGCCCCACGGTCCACAAAGCGTCGCGGACACCGAAAGCCCAAGGTGGCGCCATATCACATGCCGATTTTGGCAAAATCGGCGACAAGTTTTCCCAAAATCGAGCGGCGTTATGGCTCCGAGCACCCGCCTCCCTTCCCAGGAGGCCCCAGCAAGCTTCAGGAAGCCCTAGGAAGCAACCAGGAGGCCGCAGAACGCCCCAGGAAGCTGCAGGAGGCCCCCACGAGGTCGTCGTCGTCGTCGTCGTCGTCGTCGTCGTCGTCGTCGTCGTCGTCGTCGTCGTCGTCGTCGTCAATCGTCGTCGTCGCCTGTCGTCGTCCGTCGCCGTCGGAGGGAAGAGAAAGGGAGGAGGAGGAGGAGGAGGAGGAGGAGGAGGAGGAGGAGGAGGAGTAGGAGTAGGATGAGGAGTAGGATAAGGAGGAGAGAGAGGAGGGTCGAGGGAGGAACCCTGATGGGGCGGCTGCAGGCTTCGTCGTCGTCGCCGTTTCGGAGGGATTAGTGGACCCTCTCTGGGTCGTCGTCGTCGTCGTCGTCGTCGTCGTCGTCGTCGTCGTCGTCGTCGTCGTCGCCATCCGTCGTCATCCGTCGTCGTCGCCTGTCGTCGTGCGTCGCCGTCGGAGGGAGGGGCTTCCTGGGGCTTCCTGTGGCATCCTGGTGGTCTCCTGGGTGCCTCCTGGAGCCTGCTTGGGCCTCCTTGTGCCTCCTGGGACTTCCTGGAGCCTTCTTGGGCCTTCTGGGGTCCCCTGGAGGAATCCTTGCAAGCCGCGGAAAGATCTCAGGAGCCCCTGGCAAGGTCCAAAAACCACGGAGGGTTTGCCGAACCCCGAACAGGGTCCACAAGCAGGACGACGAAGAAGAGGAACGAGGAGGAGGAGGAGGAGGAGGAGGAGGAGGAGGAGGAGGAGGGGGAGCAGGAGGAGGAGGAGGAGGAGGAGGAGGAGGAGGAGGAAGAGCGACGCGCCAGTTTTTCCCGGCTGGCCGGTCGCCGCGAGTGTCGCTGGAAGATGAGAAGGGTGGAGGGGGGGAGGGGGGGGCGGGGACGGTATCTTAGGGCAGCAGGAACAGCAGCAAATGGTTTTAGACTTGAGCCAGTATGGCGTACAGGTACCAGAGAGGGCCCAATCCCCTGGGCCCGGGTCAAGGAAACTATACGCTAAACCAAGCATTCACATTGGTCAACCTTTCTGGTAGGTTTTGCTGACCCAAGCGTGTTGAAAAACACGCATCAGCACACGGGCTTGGTGATTGTCACCAGCCACTGTGTTCCCGCACTGTACGCCAGCGCACACGCACATCTTAGGAGAGGAGAAGGAGAGAGGAGATTACTGGAACTGGCCAGAACCGTCGGACGCAGCACCGGACTCGGACACGAATGATGTCCAGTTGATGGACGCCCGATCTTTGGCGATCTTGCCTTCTGGGAAGGATTCTCGCGCCTGCCGACCAGCTCTCGTTCCTCGTCCACTAACAGTGGTCGGCCGGACGCCATCAAGTCAAACAAGGCTGCGTTCACTTTGGTAACGTCGTCCTTTGTGAGGGGGTCGACCGGCATCCTAGAGTGTGGCGCCCACCTCACGACCCCCTTCGATCGCTCGAGAGACTCGCAGATGATCGCCAAATCCAGGGCCGCTCCTATCCTTTGCACTTGCCGTCCCATCCTTCGCCATCGTATCATAAATACTCTTGGCATCAACGACATGAATCTGTCGTTCTCGGTGTCCGAGTCTGTAGTTCTGTCGAAGGACAGTGGTGAATGGGCCTGCGGCCCTCGAACATTCTGAAATATCTACATCCTGAAACACAGCGTCTGCGTACAACACCTGCAGGTACTCGACTTCTGACACTGCTGATGCGAGGGCCAGCGTCTCTCCTGCAAGGGTGGAGGGAACCTTCCTTTGAGCTTCGACGATCTCCACCCGAGGATCGACGCTCTCACCGAGCGATTCTGCAGCACGCTCTGATCGGTAGCCAGCACCATCCAGGCCCCTTGGGTTGGATCCTCTGCAGCCCCTTTGAGTCGACCCCGCTGGCGCTGGCTCCCACGCCTCACGCATCCGAAAAAGTAATGAAAGCCATCTTGCTAGTGTCGAGGCGCCACACTGTCAGGCCCCTCGAGGCCGTGCTCCTCAGATGGCGCACTAGCTTGTTGGCACACGAGACGTCCCAAGAAGTGGCCAGCTTCAATCTTGACGCAAGGATACTCGCCACTCGAGGCCTCGGGACGCGTCTCCCGACCTTCCCAGTTCAGCTTGTATATGAGGGACCTCAGGGCCTTGAACTCCGTAGGATCCAACTGGGTGTCCTATCTACCGAGCCTCCCGGGAGCCATGCTGAGGGGCCTGAGTTCCTCCAGGATGTATTTCTCCTGGTCGACCGTGATGCGCTGGGGAGTCCACGTAATCCTACGTCCGGCGTAGTCCACCGGTGACGCGTGCAGTTCCCGGTACTTCCCGAATCGGAATCTAGACTCTAACATCACTCGCACCTGCTGCCTGACCTCGGGAGTTGACGAGGCGATGAAGAAGTCTAGACTTCGAGTAGTATCATGCTCTCGAGACCGTTTTCTTGGAGTGCTTCAACCACCAGCAGGGTTCCAGCAGGGACCTCACATTCCCGTGGTCGGACAGACACTGGATCACAGTCTTTCTCCACGCAACAGGGGCATCGTCCAGGCCGTACACGTTTACGAGGAGCTCGATAAGAGCTCCCTCTTCGACCCGAACTCCGTGGCAGGGCTCGACGTATATGGGGCTCGACTGGCAGAAGGCATTTTTCACGTCGGCTATGTCCCCGTACATGCCGTGATGGGGACGAAACGAGGGGGGCAGAAAATCTCGACAAATGCCGTCCGGCTTCGGTCCTGGCGGCCCGATGGGGTCCTCTGAGCTGTTGCGCCCTCCGTCACGGCATACGCCGCGTTCCCCCCTGATGAGGCCCCTGGGCCTCCCTTATCAGATGCGAAGGCTACGAGGCAGTCTCGAACTCTCCGGGGAAGGGTCACTTCTCGGTCATCATTCATCAGATCACCGTCGAGTCACTGGCCCTTCTCTGCGCCTGACCTGGATGGGTCTCCGGCCTTCGCACGAGGAAGCCCAAAGCATAGCCAGCTGGGTTGGGAGGGAAGGTCGTGCGCCTTGGTCTGGGCGTGACGCTCGGGTTCGGACGTGTACGGAAACGGAGGTGGAGGCACGGAAGGAAGCGGAGGGGAGATCATTGGGGTGTCTGTCTCATTCACTGCGCCGAGCTGCCGTCCGAGCGCGACGGAGCATCCTCTAGGATCCTGCTGAGCACTTCCAACCAGGCGTGGTCGGAGCGGCCACCTGCGGCGGCGACGCTGGGGACGCCGTTCCTGCCGCGGATGGGCCCACGCCCGTCTGTCCCGCCGCCTGGCACAGCCCGGCCACCTGCATGGCGACCTGCAACCTGCATGACCACCTGCCCGACCTGATTCACCTGGCCTGCGAGGTTGGTGACCTGCGTCGCCAGATTCACGACGTCCTCTCCAACTTGATCGATCGACCCGCCCAGCGGCTCGAGCGTCCCTTCCAGCATGCGCCGAATCTGGGTCACGCCCTGGAGCACCTGCTGGTACGCCTCGGCCGACGAGTTCGGCTGGGCTTGGAGAATGGACACCTGCTCGTACATGCTGTTGAGTGCGTCCCGCATGTGGCCAAGGTTCTCCAGTCCGTGAGGCAACTGCTGGAGCTGAGCGGTTACGGTCTGCAGCAACTGCTCGGCGTGGTTGACCGTATTCAGGTTGGCCGCCCCTGGGACGACTCCCTGCGCCTCCAGCAACTCCACCGCTCGCTCGGCTGAGTCTGCTGCCCGACGAGCCGCAGCAGCCGCGGACTGCCTGTCGTCCCCAGCGACCCCGCCATTCTGGTTGGCCCCGGCGGGAGCCTTGGGAATCCGCGTGATGCGCTCTCCGCAATCCGGACATTGGCTACCGTGTCCGTGCTGATTCCCGTAGCATCTCCAGCGCGAGTGAGGACAGGGTGCTGCCGTCACTGTCTGGAGGGTTGTCGTCGTGGCCGATGATGAGCTGGCCGATGCCGGGAAGGCTTCGGCAGTCGCCTGCCCTGGCAGCGGGACCTCCGGCTGAGGCTTCGGACGCCCGGGATACGATGGCACGGGGCCGCGGCGCGGCGCCCCCCGTGCCAAAGCGTCCATCTAGGCTTGGTTGACGACTGGAGTCCCGTCCGTCAGGTACCCCTGCTGGCCCCGCCGATTGCACTGCCTTGAGAGTCGGCGGCGCTGGCTTGACCGGTGGTGCTGCCATCCCCATCTGGCGCTGGCGGTCTGCCACGATCGCCTCCGTGGCGTTGGCCGCGCCGGGTCGGCGACCACGGCTGCTG